CACTGAGACACAGCCCCTCTGAGGCAGGGGCATCTCAAGATACTGTTGTAGGGGGACAGGGAACCGCCAGAGAAACACCCAAGTAAAGTGAAGGGACAAAATATTGCTCGTCAATCATGGCTGGTTCTGGGGCACTCACAGATCTCGCCCTTCATACATAAATGGTAGGGAAACAGATGGTGGTGAGGTTTCTCCTTCGGAGCTCTGATTTGCTCGACACCTGCTGCTGAGCAGCGCCCGCCAACATTTCAAGACGTGGTACGGCGACGTGGGTGGTGCGGTGTGTGGGACCCCTTTGGCTTCCCTCTTCACGGGCTCATGGTCTGAGAGATGGTGAATGCACAGGGGATGTATTCAGAGCCTGTCTGCTCCCCTCACACCACGGGGCACATCTCCTGATGGGCAGAGGATCCACTTGGATCCACAAAGTCTCTCTCCTACTTGGCTTCAATTTCTCTTGCTCAGGAAAATGTGGAATGAGGGCGAACAGAGGATTTCTAACACTTGTTGAGTGTCCATAATGTGCCTGGTACAAGCCTGGTATAAGCAACAAGGAGTATAATCCCCATTTTATAGTTGAGATCATGAGTCACTGAGACGCCTGGAGACACGGAGCTAACGAACAGCAGACCCAGGACTAGGGCCAGAGCTCAGGGTCTCTCCGTGGTGTCACAAGGGACAGTGATGTTTGCAGGGACTGCCCTCACATCTGCTTTGTGCTCTCCTCTTTGGCACTCAAAGGATATTAGAAGTTAAGAACTCAAACTATTAAGGATTATTTTAGCTGGGAGAAGCTGGGGCGATTGGGTCAAAAGGCTGGTGTAGTGCAAGTCAGGAGAAAGCCGGGCTCAGCCTCTGCTTCTGGTGTCGGAGAAAACTTGGAAGGGAGGGACGGCTGGTGCTGGGGGCTGGCTCGTGATGTCTCCCAGACCTTGAGTTTCCACCTGGCACAGGGTCTCCCTACAACCTTGGATCGAACTCCAGGGGCCATGGGGAAGCCATGGCAGCTCAGACTATGAATTTTCTTTTCATGTGTGTTATTTATTTAACATTTTTTGATTGAGTTATAGTCAGTTTACAATGTTGTGTCAAATTCCAGTGTAGAGCACAATTTTTGAGTTCTACAGGAACATACATATATTCACTGTCGCATTCTTTTTCACTGTGAGCTACCACAAGATCTTGTATACATTTCCCTGTGCTATCGGTATAAACTTGTTTATCTATTCTACATATGCCTGTCAGTACCTACAAATTTCAACCTCCCAGACACACTATGAATGTTTTAACTGACTGGTACACTAAAAAATGCCTGGCCCAGCTTTTAAATTAAATACTGATGCCAACAGCCCACCTCCCAGCACCTCACCACGCGGAGCACCCCTTTGTGAGAAAGTAGGCTCGGGGTCACGGACTCCCACCGCCCACCGCCCCACTGATATGGGGGCAGGACAGAGCCCGGACCCCACCCTGGCCCCACCATCATCCAGAACAGCTGTCAGCCCACCACCTTGGCACCTGCCCACGGCCACTCCTGCTCGCTCACCTGCTGGGCCCTGGGGTCTCCCCACCAGCTCCCACCTCCCCAGCCCCCTTCTCCACACATTTTCAGCTGCCTCAGTCAATGCTACCTGCCATATTCTAGTTCAGAAATGACTCACACTTTCTGTTCTTGCCCTTTTTTTTGCCTTGAGAGCTATTACGGACTTCTTGGAGTTCAGTGAAATTTGGGTGGGGCAGATAAAATAAGCACCCACTTTGCCATCTCAGGTCCTGATCTCTGATTTGGTAAGTTACCTGCCCCCGTTTCACTGGGGGAGGCCGAGGACCAGGGGCCGTGTCCAGGGGAGGCGTGTGAATTGGCTCTGAGTTGCCCACCAGGGGCCACCTGACCTCCTCTGGCTTATTTCCTGTCCCATTTTAAGACAGTAAATGATAAAACGCTTCTTTATAAACATCTCAGTTAGTGATTCATCTAAAACAGCCTAATTGGAGCAGCTATGGATCCTTGAGAGAAATCGTTTCTGACCAAATAGAGCTGGATTTTAAAATCAAGGCCCATCTACCTCTGGAAAGCACGTCCAGGCCCCAGCCCACTAATGTCAGTCTTAGCTGTGAGTTCACGGGATTCATACCTCTGCTTCCTACTCACTCTGGGTAATTTTTTCCTTAGCTAGATTTGAAAGATGTGTTGATGAACCAAAAGTGCCTTCTATTCTCTGAAAGCATCTGATTTCCAGTTCTCCTGAGATTGGGTGCATCACGCACCGTGCTCCACCCCCACCCGGCTGAACTCAGGGTCCCGCTTCCTTATTTGAAACTTCCTCTCTACCCTCTTCCCACTTCCCAACAAAACAGTCAAAGCACGTGCTCAAATTTGTTTTTATTTTGCAAACACAGGAAACAGGACGCTATCAAAAGAATGAAAAAGAGAAATCAGCCACATTGCAGAGGAAAAACACTCATAGACGTGCTCCCCGTTCGCTCCCGGCCACCGACTGGACAGGACTTCATGCGCCAGAGCAGGACTGGCTCCCAGCGGTGGGCACAGCCCGCCCACAGCACGGAGGGGACAGGGGCAGGACGCGTCACCACGAGTGGGCTCTACACACTGGGTCGGTGCCCCCTGTTCTCTCTTATCAGGACAGCAAAGGGAGAAAGTGAAGTTGAAAATGCAAAACAAATGACCTGGAAGAAGAGGAACCTGGGGACCCATGTAGGTGTCCTTGGGTGTAAACAGCAAATGTGCTTTGTGGTCTCACTCCATCAAGGACTGGAGTGTGGGGCAGGAGGTCGGAGGTCACATGCAGATGGTCAGACCCTGGCGGCAGCATCCATGTCCACAGGCTCTCCGGGACCTGAATCTGGCTGCCGGGATTTCCCGTGGGAATCCTTGGGAGCTCCCGGCTTCTCCATCCTTAGGAAAGTCACGGTGGCCCATCCTGATTCCTCACTCGTACCCCACAGAGCAAGGACAGCAAGCCTGGGGCTGTGGGAATGAAAACAGTATCCACTCCAGCAAGATGTGCTGATGCTTAAGTTCAATGGCTGACAACTCCCCCTCCTTAAACTCGCCGTCTCCATCTGTGATGTGCCACAGCTCCTGCCTCACTGGTCCCTGCTTCCTCTAAGCGTTCTCCTCCACCTCCATGTTTTGCATGTCTCCTGCCTTGAATGTGGATCTCGGCTGCACCCCTCCCCCAAGCCGTCCCCTGTCCCCACACACTCTTCTGGGGTGCCGGTTGCTGCCCCTTCCATTCTGAGGGCTCCCAGACCTGCCCAGGCTCTCGCAGGTCCTGCCCTTCCCCCCACCCCTCTCTTGTTTGGTGGACCCCTTAGTAAGACCAGAAGCCCTGTCTTTCCCCTGTGGGCCTCTTCTGGCCCCTCACTCTCCACACTGAGCTGGCCCCCGTCCTTCAGTGACATCTGCAGAATCCCTCCCCCATTCTCCTCCCCATTTCTTCTCTCGTATTCAAAGGCTTCTTACAGCCTCTCCCTGGGACAAGAGTGTCCTCCTGCAGCATCCAGGGCAGGCAGAGAGTCCATGGGCACACCAGTCCACCCCGCTGGCATTAGGCCCCGGAGGTTGTCTACCTGTCTGGGAACTGGGCTCACCTGGATGACAGGTAATCCGCCCTGAGTAACTGCTAACCCAGCGGGTGGTAGTGGAGATCATACTTCAGCAAACTGTGCTCAGAAAGCTTGTGGGGGGACCGGTGATGATTTTTGCTAAGTCGGGTCCTCTTTCAGTTCTCTGAATGGACTTACCTTCCTGTGCTCCAGTTTTCTCGGCTCTAAGGTACACGCAGCCCTCTCTGTTGGCGGTTTTGTTGGTACGCCTCCCCAGGTCTTGGCAAAGCGGCTGCGGTGTATCACATGGCTGCTGGCTGGCCCCCACCACACCCGATCCGGCTGAAGGCCTTCCGTCGCCAGGCACCCTCGTGGGCTGTGGTGCTCTCTAGCCATCTGCTCCTGGTGGAGAAGCTCCACGTGGCTGGGAGCCCTGTGTCACCTTTGCTCATTACCTGAGCCCAGGTGCCTGCTGTGTCTGGGTGTGTTGGCCCTGCCACACGTCAGCTGAGTGCACGACGGGGGCGGTGGTCCCCACGGCTGCCAGCCTGGCCGTGCTCTGGCTGTGATGGGAGGGCATTCAACACACAGCCCCGTCCTCCAGGAAAGCCCTTCCTGGCTCTACACCACCTTCTCCCTCAGCCTCTCATCCAGCTCATCCCCATTTATCTTTCCAGTCTCAGATCAGAATCACCAAATCCAGGAAATACAGCTCATTGACTACCACCACCTCCTGGTCGAATGAGGTGCCCTGTCCTCTTGGCACCCAGGACAAAATACACATATTGGAGTCCCACCATGCAAGACGTCTTACTCTTCGAGCTTCCTGCACACGAGGATGGGATCTCAGTGAGCCTGGTACCCTCGGAGCCCAGAGCAGCCCCGGGCACTGTGGCAGAAGCTCCATCAATACGTGACATGCGGGATGAAGGTGGATTCTGGTCTAGACTTTGCTTCTCCCACATTATGCCGGACACACGTGACAGCTCCTTGAGACATGCTTGTTTCTGATGTGACAGGAGGCACGGGCTGCACCAGCCCAGCAAGCCTGCACCAACCTCACCCTCACCGCTGAGGACAGAGGCATTCGAAGGGATGACCCCCAACTCCCTATCACAAGTGGTGGTGGGGTGGGGCTGTGGTCTGGGTACCAGAGACGTGCCGCAGGCGTGTCTGGAACATCTGTGCAGCATGGTCACTCCCACTGGAGAATAACAAAACCAATGCCAAGTGCGTCTGATTTAATTGGCATTTTTATGTTAACATCACAACTCGTGGATGTGCTGGGAAGTGGAAGGATGGGATTAAAATATCTGAACGTGGAAATGGAGAGGTATCTGGAAAATTAAAGAAACAGAATAGACAGGAGGTGGATCAGTTATGTACTTGTCAGAAACGTAGACCCTTAGGTGAACAAACACAGGACTGGAGCGTGCTGGACAGACTGTGGCTGAGGGGATGGGCAGTAGGGACGGAGGCTGTACCCTTGTGCTGAGTGGAAAGGCTCCTGGCCTGGGGGCCCCAGCTGCACCGAGGTGAGCATGTCACACGCGTTCAATGGACTTGCCCATCTGGCTAAACTGGAATCCTGGACAAGACACTGACCGGGCTGACCATCCAGGCTCCCACGGAGAAGAGAAACTGTGTTTCTGTTCTGACTCATTTAGGGAGGTGGAGGGACAAAGACTTCATCGCACGTGTGAAAACCACAGAGAGAGAAGGCCAGGCAGGAACAGCCATGTGCCACAGCCTGGAGAGAGATCATTCCAAAAATGTCCCCCCACATGTACAGAGGGTTCTATGGCACATGACTCTGGAGTCCAAGGTATTTTAACTTCGTAATTTCAACTCCAGGCCATAATCAAAAACAAGCCTGCTGATAACAAAAACTCCAAAGGTTCCAAACCGAGCCAGGGTGGCGGATCCTTAACCCAGCTGAATGTGGGGATGTCCTCAGAAACACGCAGAGTGGAATCAAGTAAAATAAAGCCCAGTGGACCTGAAGCCTGGTGCAGACTCCGCACGATAACAAAAAGAACCGTATACGTGTATGCACGGTGGAGGGGAGGGCACAGCTCAAGTGGCAGAGCACATGCCTAGCGTGCACGAGGTCCTGGGATCAATTCCCAGTGCCTCCTCTAAGGATAAATAAATCAATTAACCTAATTACCCCCCCAAAAGCCTAAGTAAATAAGTGACACTGTTCAAAACATAAAAAAGTTTTTAAAAAATGTACACATGGGGAGTAAAGAAGATTCAGAAATATAATAAATGGCCAAGAGAAAGACCTCATTTCTTATCCTCTGCCAAAGAGAATGATTTACAAACTGAAATGGAGGTTAAAAAATGAGTGACGGAAGACATCCAGATGGCCCACATGCACAGGAAAAGATGCTCAACATCGCTAATTACTAGAAAAAATGCAAATCGAAGCAACAATGAGGTATCACCTCACACTGTTCAGAATGATCATCAAAAGTCTACAAATAATAAATGCTGGAGAGGGTGTGGAGAAAAGGGAGCCTCCTACACTGTCAGTAGAAATGTAAATTAGTGCAGCCACTATGGAAACAGCACGGAGGTTCCTTAAGAAACCAGAAATATACTTACCATATGATCCAGCAATCCCACTCCTGGGCATATATTTGGAGAAAACTCTAATTTGAAAAGATACATGCACTTCAATGTTCATAGCAGCACAATTTACAACAGCTAAGATGTGGATGGAAACAACCTGACTGGCTTTCAACAGAGGACTGGATAAAGAAGTTGTGGTGTATTTATACAATGGAATACTACTCAGCCATAAAAAGAATAAAATGATGCCATTTGCAGCAACATGGATGGTCCTGGAGATTATCATTCTAAGTGAAGTAAGCCAGAAAGAGGAAGAAAAATACCATATGTGGAATCTAAAATATGATACAAATGAATTTATTTACAAAACAGAAACAGAGTCACAGACATAGAAAACAAACATGGCTACCAAAATGAAAAGGGGGTGATGAGGGACAAATAAGGAGTTTGGGATTAGCAGATACAAACTACTATATGTAAAATAAATAAACAAGGACCTACTGTATAGCACAGGGAAATATATTCAATATCCTGCAATAAACCATAATGAAAAAGAATATATATATATACACATACATATACATATATATATATAAAAAACTGAATCACTTAGCTGGACACCAAAACTAACACAACATTGTAAATCTACTATACACCAATACAATTTAAAAAAAAAACGAATGAGAGAAAATGAAACTCCAAGATAAGAACTGACTTGGTTTTGGGGAGAGCATTCAGACGGCCTAACTCTGAAGCAGGGCCACAGTGTACCACGTAAGGGAGAAAACCAGCAGTTAAGACCTACACTAACAGTATGAGACGTATATTATTTATTCTCAATTTTCAGTTTCAAAAGCTGAAGGCCAAAAATGTTCTGTAATTTTCAAGGGGACTCTTCTTCCTCTGGACGCTGTTGGATCTGTAAGCCCTGGGGGGTCTGTCCTGCAGCCGAGGACACATGGAGGTGGCAGTGTGGACAGGTGGAGGGGATCTGAGTTCCTCCATGCTGCTCAGCAAAGAGGTAAAACCAGGCGCCTCCATCCTGTGACTTTTTGTCGCAAGAAATAACTCTTTAAAATAATTTCAGGCTGGCTCAATCGGGCTGTGTGTTACCTGCAGCCAAAACACCTGAATTAATTCTTGCAGAGAAGAACATTTTTGTGATCAATAGATGAGCTTCTCCCCTTCATCACTTGGCACCTTCTTTCCTCTAAGCCTTCTGGTCTGATTTTATGTTGTATCTACTCATTTTACTAAATTGTCTCAGTAACTAAAGCTATTTTTCAGTTCATCTTCCAGGATCTTTTGCAGAGATATAACAATATGTTTTTTACAAATAGAGATAGTTTTTTTCTTTCCTAATGATTAAATATTTCCCTGTTAATACTTTAGCCAGAATTTCTAGGATGGTGTTAAACATTGATACTAAATATATTAATTTTAACTGCAGTACTTTTGCCATTGCACTAAATATGTTGTTGGCAGCAGGTCTAGGGTACAAAGTTAGTTCATTTGACAATTTCTGAGTATTTCTATTCAAAAGGCATAGCTGATAACGTTGGACGCAGCATATACGTTGAGTACTTGGTCCAAGGACCACAAACACATGCTCTAAGTTTTTATTGTATCAAGAAAAGCTTTACATTGCTAGATATAGTACAGTTCACAGCACATTACTTCTTTTGCATTTTGATAAGAGATGTATGTTGAATTTTATCAACAGCCTTTTCAGCATCTACTGATATACTGTGCTTTTTTTAAAAAATTAAAACAAACCCAGAGAATGTTTATTGGTTATAAACAAATGACTTAAACCTGAGATTAGCTGATGGACATTTTAGGTTCAAGCAACACAGCACTCTCACAGCTTGATACACACCCCAGAGTGCTCGCCCCAGGCCTAGCTTCCATCCATCACCACGTAGCTGACACCCTCACCTGTTTTGCCCACACCGTTTCCCCTCTGGTAACCATTAATCTGCTCTCTGCATCTATGAGTTTGTTTTTGTTTTATTCGTTTATTCGTTTTGTTAGATTTTACATGAGTGTGATCGTACAGTATTTGTCTTTCTCTGTCTGACTTATTTAAATTAGCAATAATACCTTCGAGGTCTTCCTATGTTGTCGCAAATGGCAGGGCTGCGTTCTTTTTTACAGCTGAGTAGTATCCCACCGTGTATATACACCACGTCTTTATCCATTCATCCACTGATGGGCACTTAGGTTGTTCCCATGCTATGGCTTTGGAAATAGTGTTGCAGTGAACATAAGGGTGCAGATACCTTTTGGATTTAGGGCTTTCATGTTCTTTAGATTAAAAACTGAGAAGTGGAGCAGCTCAGACATATGATAGTTCTATTATCAATTTTTGAGAAATCTCCACACTGTTTTCCATAGTGGCTGCAGCAATTTACATTCCCATCAACAGTGCAGGAGGGTTCCCTTTTCCGCACATCCTCACCAATATTTGTTATTTCTTGTATTTTCAATAATAGCCAGTGTTAATAACAGGTGTAAGGTGATATCTCACGTGGTTTTGATTTGCATTTCCCTAATAATTAGTGATGGTTAACATCTTTTCATGTGCCTGCTGGCCATCTGTATATCTTCTTTGGAAAAATGTCTACTGAGATCCTCTGCCTACTTTATTTTTTTTAAATTAATAGTCCAGGAAATCTTTTTTTTAAATTGAATTATAGTCAATTTACAATGTTGTGTTAGTTTCTGGTGTACATCAGAGCGATTCAGTTATACATATGTATATATCCCTTTTCATATTTTTTCAATATAGGCTATTACAAGATATTGAATATAGTTCCCTGTGCTCTACAGGAGGATCTTGTTGTGTATCTATTTTATATACAGTAGTTTGTGTCTGCAAAAACTGAACTCTCAGTTTATCCCTTCCCAGCCCCCTTTCCTTTCAGTAACCATAAGTTTGTTTTCTACATCTGTGAGTCTGTTTCTGTTTTGTAAATAAATTCCTTTGTGTCTTTTTTTTAGATTCCATGAGTGATCTCACATGGTATTTTTCTTCCTTTCCGACTAAATTCACTTACTATGATAATCTCTAGGTCCATTCATGTTGCTGAAAATGCCATTATTTCATTTTTTATGGCTGAGTAGTATTCCATCACATATATTTACCACAACTTCTTTATCCAGTCACCTGCCAATGGATATTCAGGTTGTTTCCATGTCTTAGCTATTGTAGAGTGCTGCTATGAACACTGGGGTGCATGTGTCTGTTCCGAATTAGAGTTTTCTACAAATATATGTGCAGGAGTGGGATTGCTAGATCATATGGTAGGTCTATTTTTGGTTAAGGAACCTCATACTGTCCTCCACAGTGGCTGCACCAAACTACATTCCCACCAACCCTGTAGGAGGGTTCCCTTTTCTTCACAATCTCTCTGGTATTTATTGTTTATGGAACTTCCACCCATTTTTTGATTGGGTTGTTTGCTCTGCCCACTTTTAATCAGGTTGCTTTTTGTTGCTGAGTTATGAGTTTTTTGTGTATTTTAAATATTAACCCCTTATTGGATACAGAATTTACAAATACCTTTTGTTCAGTAGGCTGCCTCCTTGTTTTGATGATAGTTTCTTTCACTGTGCAGAAGCTTTTTAGTTTGATGTTGTCCCATTTGTTGATTTTTGCTTTTGTTTCTCTTGCATTTGAAGTCAGAGCCACAAAAACATTAGACAGATGTCAGTGAGGTTACCACACATTATTTCTTCCAGTTTTCAGGTTTCAGGCCTTACATTCAAGTCAATTTTGAGTTAAAATAGTGTGTATGGTGTATAACAGTGGTCTTTTGCATGTGGCTGGCCAGTTTCCCTAACTCCATTTATTCAAGAGAACATCCTCTCAACTGTACGTTCTCTGCCATAAATTAATTGTCCATATTTGTGTGGGTTTATTTCTGGGCTCTCTACTCTGCTCCATTGATCTATATGTCTGTTTCTGTGCCAGTGCTGTAATGTTTTGATTACTATAGGTATGTAGTATGGTTTGTAATCAGAGACCATGACACCTCCAGCGTGGTTCCTCTTTCTGAAGATTGTTTTGGCTATTTGGGATCTTTTAGAATTATTTGTTCTAGTTGTGTGAAAAATGCCATTGGAATTTTGATAGGGATTGCATTGAATTTGTAGATTGCTTTGGATAGTGTTTTAACAACATTAATTCTTCCCATACGTGAACATGGAATATCTTTCCCTTTATTTCTGTCTTTTTAGATTTCTTTCATCAGTGTCTTACAGTTTGTCATATATATGTCTTTCACTTCCTTAGTTAAATTTATTCCTAGGTTTATTCTTTTTGAGACAATCATAAATGAGGTTTTTTGTTTTTTTTTAAACTACTCTTTCTAATAGTTCACTATTGATATATCATCACTAAGGTATATCATTGAGGACTTGGTCCTTGCCTTCAAAGACATTCAAAGAACATACACTCTAAGTCTTATTATATTAAGAAAATGACCTACATTGCTAGTTACATTACTAGTTCACACTACCTGACTAGTTTTGAAAGAGTTGTGGTAAGGAATGTATATTAAATTTTATCAACAGCCTCTTCAGCATTTACTGATACTTGTTGCCTTTTTTTCTTTACATTTTTGTTATTGTAAAATACATATAACATAAAATTTAAAAATAAACATTTTAACCATTTTAAGTATACAATTTAGTGGAATTAAGTGAATTTACCTTGTTGTGCAACTATCACCATGATACATCCCTGTAACTTTCTTCATCTTGTAAAACTGAAAATCTGTATCCACTAAAAAGTAACCCCTGCAGTCTCCTCCCCTAGACCCAGGAAATCACCACTGTATTTTCTGTCTTCATGATTCTGACTACTCTAAGTACCATGTATAAATGGAATCATACAGTATTCATGTCTTTGACTGGCTTACTTCAATTAGCACAATGTCTTTAAAGTTTATTCATGCTGTAGGATATCAGAATTCCTTTCTTTTTAAGGCTGAATAATATTCCTTTGTATATACCACATTTGCTTATTCATTCACCCACTGATGGATACCTGTTTACAGCCATGTTTTAGCAATTGGGAGTAATGCTGCTATGAACACGAGTGTACAAATACCTCTTTAAGACTCTGGTTTTGATTCTCCTGGGTAGGTACCCAGAAGCAGAATTGCTGGATTGTATGGTAATTCTATTTTTAATTTTTTGGGACACTTCCATAATGTTTCCACAGTGGCTCTACTGTTTTACATTCCTACCAACAGTGCAAAAAGATTCCAATTTCTCCATCCTTACCAATACTTGCTTTCCGCTTTTTGATAGTAGCTATCTTAATGTGTGTGAAGTGGGTATCTCAAAGTTTTGATTTGCATTTCCCTAATGATTAGTGGTGTGAAGCATCTTTTCATGTACTTGGTAGCCATTCATATCTTCTTTGGAGAAATAAGCATTCAATTCTTTGCCCACTTTTGAATAGCGTTGCTTGATTTTCCATTGTTGAGTTTTAAGAGTTCTCTAGTCTGGATATTACTCTAGTCTGGATATGAATTGCTTAACAAATACATGATTTGCAAATATTTCCTCCTACTGTGGCAGTACCCTCTTCACTCTATTCATAGTGTCCTCTGATGCACAAAATTTTTAATTTTCATGAAGCCCAATTTGCCTATTTTAAAAATTTTGTTACTCATGCCTTTGGTATCCTGTCTAAGAAATCACTGCCAAATCTAATATTGTGACACTTTGTCCTTGATTTTTCCTAAGAGTTTTATTGTTTTAGGTCCTTGATCCATTTTAAGTAAACTTTTGTATATGGTGTTGGGTGAGGGTCCAACTTCATCCTTTTGCATGTGGACATTGTTTCCCCAGCATGCTTTATTGAAAAGGCTGTCCTTTCCCCATGGAGTGGTCTTGGTACCCCTGTTGAAATAACATTTAATCATATATGCAAGAGTTTATTATTGCATTCTCTGGTCTATTCTGTTGGTCTGTATATTTGCCTTTGTGCCCTCACCAGGCTGTTTTGACTAATGTAGCTATATAATAAGTTTTGAAATCATGAAGTTTGAGTCCTCCACTTTTTAAAGATGGTTTTGACTAGTAATTAAAAAAACTAATAATTATTTTAAATGTATTTGGGGTGCTTTGAGATTCCATATGAATTTTAGGATGGGTTTTTCTGTATGGAAGAAAGTCATTGGGATTTTTAATTGGATTTGCATTAAATGTGTAGATCACATTGGATGGTTCTGACATTTTGATGATACTGACTTTCAGTTCCTGAATACAGAATCTGTTTCCATTTATTTATGTCTTTTAAGATTTCTTGCAGCCATGTTTTGTGGTTTTCACTGTACAAGTCTTTCACCTCCTTGGTTAATTCATTCCTAATTATTTTATTCTTTTTGATGCTTTTATTAATAGTTTTGTAATTTCCTTCCCAGATTGTTCATTGTTCGTATAGAAACATAACTGATTCTTGTGTTAATTCTGTGTCCTGCTACTTTGCTGAATTCATTTATTATTTTTGTTTGTTTTATAGAATCCTTATGCTTTTCTACATATAAGATCATATTATCTGCAAATGAGATAATTTGACTTCTTCCTTTCTAATTTTGATGTCTTTATTTTGCTTGTTTAATTTCTTTGGCTAGAATTTCCAGACTATGTTGAAGAGATGGTGAAAGGAGTTATCCTTGCCTTGTTCTTGATTTTTGAGAAAAAACATTCAGTCTTTCACTGTCAGATATGATGTAAGCTGTGAGTTTTTCATGTACACTTTTTATTATGATGAGGTCGTTTCTTTCGACTCCTAGCTTGTTGTGTGCTTTTGTCATGAAAGAGTGTTGCATTTTGTCAAATGATTTTTCTGCATCATTTGAGATAATCATGTGTTTTTTCCCCCCTTTATTTTGTTGACAGGATGTATTGCTTTCACCAATTTTTATGTTGGATCATCCTTGCATTCCAAGAATAAAACCCACTTGGTCATTGTGTATAATCCTTTAAAATGCTGAGCCCTGTTTGCTAGTATTTTGTTGAGGATTTTTGCATCAGTGTTGATTAAGGACTATGGCCTACAATTTCTTTTTTCTTGTAGAACCTGTGGATACAGAGGGCTGACTGTAATTTGAATTTATACCAGCTTAACATCAATAACATACAAAAACAACTCCTTTACAGTTCTGCCCCCACTCCTTTCAGTGGTTGATGTCACTAAGTTACATCTTTATATGTTGTGTGCCCTAAAACATAAACTAGTAATTCTTCTAAATGTGTTAGTCTTTTAAATCATGTGGAAAACAAATAATAAAGTACAATACTATACTTTAGTAAAATATATTGCTACAGTAATACTGGCTTTGTAAGGGCCCAGGAGTTTACCTTTATTGAGATCTCCATTTCTCTTCAAGTTACTAATGTCCTTTCATTTCACCTGCAGGACTCCCTTGAGCATTTCTTACAGGGAAGGTCTACTAGTCACAAACTCCCTTACTCTGGTTTATCTGGGAAGTTCTTCACTCCTCCTTCAGTTTTGAAGGACAGGTTTGCCAAATATAGGATTCTTGGTTGACAGTTTTTTTCTTTTACTTGAATATACTGTCTCACTAACTTCTGGCCTCCAGAATTTCTGATGAGAAATCTGCTCATAATCGTGTTGAGGATCCCTTGTACATGATGACCTGCTTCTCCTTGCTACTTTCAAGATTTTCTCTCTGTGCTTGGCTTTTGAATATTTGGTTATAATGTGTCCTGGTGTGGGTCTCCAAGTTCCTTTTACTTGGAGTGGATATTTATATTTATGTCTTCCGTCAAAGTTTCAAAGTTTTCAGCAATTATTTCCTAAAATATTCTCTGCTCCTTGTTTTCTTTTCTCCTTCTTAGGTTGCCATGATGCCTACCTCTCTTGGTCTGCTTCATGAAGTCCCACAGGTATGAGGCTCTGTTTACTTTTCTTCAATCTTCTTTTGTTCTATTCCTTAGACTATGTAAGTTCCATTGTCTTATCTTCAGCCTTGCTGATCCTTTCTTCTGTCTGCTCAAATCTGCCTTCGAATCCGTGTAGTGAATTCTTCAGTTATTGTGCTTTTCACCTCCAGAATTTGTTCATAAATTTTTAAAGTTTCTCTTTATTGATATTTCTATTTTGTTCATAGATTGGGTTTTTTGTTTGTTTGTTTGTACTCTCTCCACATCTTTAGCTCTTTGAGCATCTTTAAGACAGTTGTTTCAAAGATCTGTCTAGCAGATGTGCTGTAGATCTTTTACAGGGACAGTGCTGATTTAATCTTTTCCTTTGGATGAGCCATCTTTTCCTGTTTCTTTCTATGCTTTATGATCTTTTTTTGATCACAGGACATTTGAATTGAATAATGTGATTAACTCTCTAAATCAGATTCTTCCCCTCCCCCAGTGTTTGCTGGGTTTTTTTTGTTTATTGTTTTGGGTGTTTGTGGCTGTTGTAGTCTATTTCTGTGCAGAGGATAAGCCTGAGGTATAACCTAAAGGTCTTCTCAGGTCTTTTCTGAGCCTTTCCCTTGGGGATGTGCAGTCACTTACTAATTTTTCCTGCATATGCAGTTGTTTTTGAATGTTCTAGTCTTTAATGTCTGGCTCCCAAAAGGGGAAAAAGTGAAAAATAAAGGGGTGTGGGGAATGGCACTGGGCATTTAAATCCCCTGGAGGTCACTTCAGCTGGATGGGGAGAGGCTTGCAACGATGTGGGGAGGCACAACAATGGTGGCTGTGCCTCTCTAATCAGAAGTGGCAAACAGTGATCAGAGCACATATCCCCAGTGTCTGGAGGACAGAGTTTTGGGGTTTTTTTTG